ATGCAAGATCCACAAGGCCACAAAGTTTGAACATGCAATAATGCAAGTTTTGAGGAAACTGTCTGCTAGCACATCTAACATTACTCCAAGCTCTACTGCAGATTTAAACTGGGGTGCAAGAATGCGAAATGGACTTAAATGTATAATGAATGCTTCTTGGGCTACCAGCTGTGTCAGGTGGTTGAATGGGGAAAACACCAGCATTTCAAGAACCAACTTCGTCCTTATCCTCAGAGTACTCAAGCTGTAGGAGATATAGTCCCTGCTCTATATATACCTGGCCCAGCCCCATATTATTGGCTGCATGACAGCCAATAGAGACTGGAATATGAAGTGATGTGCTTGCTATTTTTAGCCGAGCTTTCCAAATGGATAATATGTTTGTCACCAGGTACCAAGGCCTGGCTCAATGTGAAACCCCCGTCTCTATTGAAGTTACTGGAGTTCAGTCAAAGTTCAATTTCTTCCTTCACAAGGCAGTCCAAATAACCTGAAGGAAGCAACTGAAATTCAACTGAACCCAGTAACTTCAACAGAGATGGGGTTTTTACACTGAGTTGGGCCTCGTACCCGGTGATGAATTTGTTATCCAATCGGAAAGCTGGGCCAAAAATAGCAAGCATGTAACTCCACAAACCAGTTCCTGTTGGCTTAAGTGCAGTCAATAATATGGGGCTGGAGCAGATATATATAGAGCACGGACGGGATGCCGAACAACTTCAGTACCCTGAGGATGAGGATGAAGATGGTTCTTGAAATGGTGTTTCTCCATTCAACCACCTGACATGGCTGGGGCTGGTAGCCCAAGAAGAATTCATCATACTTAATCGCCATGAAAACTTCAGATCATGGACTGAAATGGATCAGGAGATATAGTACGACAGACTATTATTAGTGAGTGGTGGGACATTCTCTTTTCATAACAGGAGAATTTCTCAATCAACTAATAAGTATCAATGATTCACAGATGATCTTCAGTATAGCATTTGTTTGTTAGTCACTATGGCTATTGTGATTTGTTTTGCATAACAAAACCAATGTTTACATACAATTTATGAAGGCTAGAAGCTACATGCTCTATTTTTCTCACACAAATGACATAAAAAGACATAATCGAATGTGTCTTTAACATGTATTCAAAATGAAAGGTTGCAAAAAACATGTCTATTTTCAATGTTAGGGAGTCTGTCTGAAAATCCAATGAAGAGATTATCATGGAATATGAGTGCGGAGTTCTCTAAAATTTGTTAAAATGTGCCAATTAAGGTAAAAATCAGACTACATTAACAAGACACTTTATATGAAGACCTACACATGTTTCTGCATCATGTACCTCAATAAATATTTATAATAAAAAAAATTGTTGAACACAAGTTGTAGAGAAAAATAAAACACATTTTATGCCAAACAGTCATTTCATAATTCCATAACCAGTAGACTGGTTCTGTTAAAAAATTATATTGGCGGTACTTGCTCATCTACCCTGTCTGTTCTATGCTATTTGTAACTGATCATCAAAAATTATAGCATACAGATTGATAATCTAAACACAGTAACAGAGCAAATGTACCAGATTTATACCATAATGTGTTCCTTGTTTTAAGACTGAGTTTGATGAATGAATGACTTGTGTCCTAAATCAGATTGAGTATCATTCTAATTCTTTTTTCTGAAATTGTTAATAATTATTCTTCATAAACAAACCTGAGAAAGTCTTTTAGACAAAGAGCAGTGAAAAATTTCTATTATATTCATATAAATATATTTTGTATATCCATACCTGAAAGTCTGAAGAATCGGTGACTGTTTCATTACTTGTTTTCTTGGTATTTGTACTCAGAAGTCCTGAGAGATCAGCTATAAAGGCCTCGTCATATATTCCTCGTTCATCCCATATTTTGAATATGCGAAGTATTCTGTGTTTTACCTTCTCTTCCCTGAAATCAAGCAGAAACATTATAGTTGTAATACATGTAAATTAATGGAAATCTAGGTGGCACTGCATAAGTTAACAAACTGAGCTTTATCTATACTTCTGTGTTTGTGTAAACCATTTACTTCTGCTCTTCCCTATGAATATAGACAAAAGTTAACATTTATACTACTGATGCACTCTTCTTTCTGGCTAAAGAAGATGACCCCTTAAACACAAAGATTAAATTAAATATTTTGCATATCTCTTAAAATATTAACCAAAACACTGAAAAGAATTACAAACTGAATATAAACTTCTAATTGGTCTTATAACTGACACGATGAGTAAAATTTAATAAACATGGAGGAGGGGAGGGGGAGAGAAAGAGACAGAGCATTCTTCCTGCTTAATTCCCAAATAAATGCAATTAGATCCATTTAACAGGCATGACATCTAATGATATAAGCCATTCACAGAATGAGATTTCTGTTTTACCCCCTATGACAGTGTTGTGCAACCTTTCTATACTTGCGGCACATTAAATATTCTCAAATAGTCATGGCGGCACACCAACCACATTTTACATATCGTGGGGGGGGGAGTAGATGGTTTATAAATCGACCCCAACCGAAAAATGTTCTATTTCATGTTTATAATTATCCATCTTTATTATTGTATCATTTATTTTAAATATATTATTTGAAATAAATTAAAATACAATATTTCCTACAGTCTTACCCAAAATTTATTAATTATGTCTAAACATTTAAACTTAAAGATACTTATTTATATTTGTACATGTAGATAGCAGAAGCAAAGAAACATTCTGCAGGCGATTACACGAAGGAAAGCTAACTGGCTGGGACATATTATGAGAAGGAATGGATTACTGAGTGATATCACCGAAGGCCAGGTTGAAGGAAAGAGAGGACTAGGAAGAAGATTGATACAGCTAACCGACGACCTTAAACAAGGAAAGAAGATGACGTTCCAGGAATTAAAGCGAGAAGCCGAGAATAGGGACAACTGGAGAGCTCTGTTTGGGCAGAGCAATGGACCTGTCGTAAGACAGAACACTTAATAATATATATACACACACACACACACACACACACACACACACACATACATACATACAATATTACAAATGACATATAAATTTCAATGATCAAACACATAAATAACATCTTTTACAAATATATCATAAGGATATACTTACAATCCATCACACAAACTTGTCATAATGCACAGAATGACATATTTTTCTTTTGGCCAGGAGCCATACAAATTTTTATCCTCATGGCTTTTATATATTAAGCACTAACAAAAATATTTCAATATGCCGCCAATAAACAGTGTAAGTTGCCTTTCATTAAAGTACACTTGTCAAAATGATATTCTGATATGAAACAAGTAAGCTGACCACATTTACTTACACTATTACTATTTGGCTGCTTTTTGGCCATGGACATTTCATGTATTTTTGGAAATGAAATACCACTGGTCCTTATTTTTTGCAGAATCAGGTTTATTTACTGATGGTCCATTCATGTAACAGCAAAAACTTTCATAGTTTTAGAATTTTCCATCACTGACTCTCCATTCACATTAAAACAAAATCTTTCACCATCTTAAACCTCATAACTTGCTTACATGTGTGCTATGATTAAATGTTCCTTGCACCAATCATTTTTGAATTTCCTTCTTCCAGCGGACTGAAGCTAACATATTGAAGTACAGGCTTTTACCAACTCTTCAATAGGTTTCATTTCACGTTTACTTTACGCATCATTTACATTAAAAAATACCTTCATTCTGAAACCAGCCAAGAGCTCAGAGACAAATCTCCTAACTTATGATTGATAGTACAATAATGTGCTGCTTGGTCAGGGCTATCAAACACCTCATGATTAGTACAGGCTAAGTCAAAAGTAGCTGCACAACTTTGGAGAACTGCAACTGTGTTACCTGCAGCCAAAATGTGCTGATATCAGCAGATATCTGTAGAGCGTAATCTCAAGTTTCGTTTGCTTGTTGTAGTTCCTCACACTGCCGCTGAGAGCGCTTGTGAATTGTGGAAAACAAAATGGAGACTTACAGTGGCGAGGAAAGAGCAAAATGTGTTTTCTGGTTCGAAAAACGAAGAATGCAACCCAGTTTCAGCAAGATGGTGAACCTCCTCATATCCATACAGACATCACTGCATGTTTGGATCTCCACTTTCCAGGTCGGTGGATTAGGCGAGCAGGTCCACTCAGCTTGGCCACCTCGTTCACCAGATCTCATACCAGCAGATTTTTTCCTGTGGGGATACATTTAGGATCATGTTTACCACCCACCCTTACCCAACAATCTTAGAGAATTACGGAAGAGGATTCGTTTGTTCGAACCAGAACACACATTGTGCTAGTTCCTCGCCACTATAAGTCTCCATTTTGTTTTCCACAATTCACAAGCACTCTCAGCGGCAATGTGAAGAACTACAACAAACAAACAAAACTTGAGGTTATGCTCTACAGATATCAGCACATTTTGGCTGCAGGTAACACGGTTACAGTTCACCAAAGCTGCGCAGCTACTTTTGACTTACCCTGTATAGCGGACAAATCCCACCTGAAATCATTGAGGACTATCCCAGGTCTCCACAATAAAAAATTAGAGATGAATCCATGTCCAGGCCTTTTTCAGGGCACACAAGGAACAGAGAGGGAGAGAGAAAGAGAATGGCTCTTTTGAGGAACTAGAAAGGAAGATAAGATCAATAGGAAGTCTTCTTATTGGGAAATTTTTGTTGTTGTTCTTACAATGAATTCCTAATTTTCTTTTTTAGCAATATAGTTTTGATAAACCTAAATTATGCTGTAAGATACTGATGTTAACTGATTCATTGCTGCTGTGTGGTGCCAACACACACATTGGCAGCATCATTAGCACCGCACAACATATGGTAGCATCAAAGCTAAAATAAATTTACAACCATTAAATTGATACTAGAATCATGTAAACTAACTACATGGAGTATTGTCCTCCTTCAGAAGCTAATAGTTCTCAACTAGTGAAGAAATTTTATATATTTTATGGAACCAAAAGGTTCACAAGAACTTGACATAACTGCTGATATCTTGAACCAGAAGAGTCCAGTCTACATTACATTTTACTCAATATATATTTTAAAATTATCCTTCCACCTACACTTAGGTCTCCCAAGTGGTATCTTTCCTCTTTGTCTTCAGACTATAATTTTGTAGGCACTGTTCACCTTTTGCATGCAACTTTTTGTCCCACCCACCTTACTCTCATCCTATCATAACTCCATTTGGCAAAGAATACAAATTATGAAGTTCCTCATGAAATAATTTTCTCTGGCCTCTTGTTAAGCAGTATAAGAAGATACACAAATAGAATTTTGTGCTAAATAAACCCTGTTAAATCAGAAATTTACTGTATTTGATTTTTAAATAGACTTTAAATGCAAATTCCAGCAGTTTGTAAATCATTTGAATAACACATTCAGACTCCATTTAGCATTCAAGGTGCAAACTGAGAAGCGTGAGCACAAAACAAAACTGCATGAATAAGGTTATTTTAATTCTATATATATCATGGTATTCTTACGAGCCACACATGAAAACATCATTCAAGTATGTATTTTGCACATAAATATAATGTTACAAAATTTATTAAAAAACCAACATCCAACTGAACTGAACATAATAGGAAATAATTAAACAGAAAACAACAGGCATATAACTTAGGAACAGACATAATTACTAAAAAATATCATAAAAATTAGAAATTTATTAAATATTTAGTAGACAATCATATCTGCATTCTTCAAAATTATTTGTAAATGTGAACAAAGCTAAGCTAACGCTCATCCAACCCCTCGTGACACCAAAACATTTACGCTCATGCACTCGGCACATCAGCATACTTTCTGAGCAATTTTTTCACAAAGTTTACACTGCACTGCTAGAAGTTTCACTACCTAGACCCAAGACATACAGGTAAAAAAAAACTCAAGTTTCTCAGTACAGATGGCTCAGAAGTGCAGAAATCATGTGCTATGAACAAATGAAGAAAACTAAAACCGGAAGGATGAGGCATTAACAGGAGCAACTGTCCACTGTTAAATGTATGATGTCGAACATACTGCCTAGTGTTCATAATGGCTGAGCAAATATAAATGTAGAATGGTGGCATGTGTTCACACTTGTAGTCTCTGACTTACATTTATTCATTTTCTTTACTCACAGAATATTATTTAATTTTGGAACAATAAATTAGTATTAAATGATGTAATGCAGGATAAACAATGAACTTCATTCTTACACACAGGAAAGCAATAAGATAGCTTTGTAAATCTATTTATTCAAAAATAATTCAAAAGTCAAAGGTAATAAACTTACCGAACCATAGTTGTCGCCCTCTGGAGAGCAGTACCCCAACTCTCCACAAATTCATAGTTCTTCCGCTTGCTGTATTGGATTACATCATTTGCCAGATAAAACAAGGTCAAACGATGCTCAATCCTCACTGCAACAGAACAAAATAATAAATTCAATACCAGAAAAAGGTAGTTTTTAGAATGACATGGCAGAAGAACAGTAATTGATGAGTTACAATTTGGCTTCATATGTTGCCTGTGGTACATTAACAGTGGAGAAGGGTAATAAGTTCAGCCCCCTTCAGTACATTAATGTTTTGTGAAAATATAACCACATTTAATTTTAAAATAAGTAAACAGTGATGAAGAGACATTTATATCAATAGAACAGTTGAATTTACGTAGTCTAGTTCTTATTTACTTTTCAAACCATCCCCCAGAATTAAATCTTACATATTTTACTGCAATCATAAGATGAATAACTGTAGACACTTTAAATTAAGACAATATTAAATATTTTCCCATTCCCAAAACCTACTGTGAATTAATATTACGCATGTCAGCATTTCAATTTAAAGTACAACAAACATAAACCATTAAAGTGCTTTTCTTTCGTACAATTTCAACGTACAGGAAAGATATTAGTGACCTAGCAAAACAATATGACATTTCATCCCAAATATTTTTCTTTATATACGCCATGATTCTTTTTACAATTTTTTATTTTCTCCCTGGTCGGCAATTTGCTTATATAGTAGTATTACAATATGGACGGATTCCATTTAGTTCAACTAGCTAGTGATGAAGACGGTGGCCAATAAACAGGAACTACAGCTTAACAGGGTTTCAAACTAAACTGTGGTCCTGATCGTCCCCACAGTCAAAAAATTGTGATTTAATAGGCATAAGGAACAGGGATAATACATGGAAAAAATGATGCCATATCCTATCAGTTCACATCACAACTTATGACATTTGAAGTTCTCACAGCTATTAAGATGTCAATGTTGTTTTGGGTTGTCACTTTGTGGAGTCGGAAACCGATACTATCATTTTGGAGAAACATATTTCCTTCATCTTCAGGAATGAAGATAAAGATAGTATGTTTCTACAAAATGTTCGAATATACCAATAAGTCCACATGGCATCACAACCCCGAAAAACATCAACACATACAACTTATTTCCCTACTTTCAATAAAATCTTCATGGGCAATCAGCAATGTATGGTTGTTGTAAAAAACTGATATTTCAAGAGCCATCTCAAGACGGGACTTGAAATTTTGGCCAACTGCCCATGAAAACTTTACTGAAATTAGTCATAAAAGTTACAGATCATACATTATTTTCCTACTATCCATATTATTATATATACCAACAGAGTCTTTGTCTCTGAGCCAGAATTTTTAAATTATTTACTGTATCTGTAATTTGTGTTGCATATCCACCTCAATGTAAATTTGATTCAGTGACCCACTACAAAAAGGATACAAATTATGTTACTGCTTAATCCATTCAAGACCTCACCTCTATTAGGCTCATATGTTTTCTTAACACTCCATCTGAATCTATACTAATGACTGGCTTTCATTTCATCCATAAATTGGACTAAGCCTTAAAAATATACCACACATTACATAAGACTCTGCATATGATTATTAAATGTGAGAGTCCTTGAAAATTACTACTGCTGGTTTTACTACACAATTTACAAACCAAAATGGCAAATTTTCTTTATTCCAAATAGCTGGCATAAGTTTAAGAGTATCAGCATATAATGGCCTTCAGCCAATTTGATCAATTCTAAGGGTATATGTAACATTACCCACATCAATCCCTTACACAATTTTTAAAAATAGGAACTTCCCAACCTGTTGAATAAAAATTTATATGCACAGGTCAACGAGCAAGACTTCATTGTGACCATGAGGCAAACTAACTATTAATACACAATGAGTTAATACATGAAATGTTCAATAATGACTAATCACAACTCAATTCTGGTTACTCACTAAGTGGCATGTATTAGACTACATGAAATCAATACCATGTGTGCAACTGTTTACTAAAATAATATCTCTATATAATATTTACTTAATGATGTTTGGGTGATTAAATCAAGAAAGATGAGAAAACAGCATGCTATGGGAAAATGATAAAGCCATATAAAGTTTTAATTTTAGAACTTCATGAAAGAGGCCACTTGCGAGACAAAGGCACAGATGAGAGAATAATATTAAATGTAACTGAATGAATTGGGGTGTAAGGATATGAAACGGATTCACCTGGATCAGGGCGGGATTTTGTGAATATAGAAAAGGTTGGCTATCTCTACTTTACAATGCATTATAAGAGTTCAAACTTTACACACAATGTGCTGGATGTGAGTTCAGGTTCTTGTAAGCATTACACATAGCATAAGGTATTTTAAATTCAGTAGGATTTGAGGTTTTCACAGCAGTGAGTCTGAAGATGGCTCTGGGTTTTTGTGTAGTATAGTCTGGTAGAAGTTTATTGATGTTTCAGAGGTCCTTGCTGCCTCCATCATCAGGATGACAGTAAATTTCTACCAGACTACAGCGCAACAACTCAGAAGGCAGCTATCCATTTCAAATTCCATGGCCAAGAAAATGTAATATGTATAACTGACACATAAACAGCATAGCATTGATTACAGTGTTGATGGAATGATTACATTACATTTACTCAGCAAGCACAATGGAAATATTACCATATAAGTAAAAATAAAAAAATAATAAAAAAACATAAAGAAGGCTGTTTTCTGGGTTGATGAGCCACATTATGTGGTGAATGGCCTTTGCCTGAGCCAGTCATGGAAGCCCCTTATCCACTCCTCAAAGGATGTAAGAAGCTACTAATACAGCAATACTTATCCTGGCCTGGCCATTATGCCAAGACACTGTCCCTTTCAGGACACTAACCTGGCCCTTTCCTCTCTCCCCACTCTTGTTATTTAGTCATTTCATTCTTCTGCTTTTCATTCTTTCCATGCTTTGTACCACCCATCCTCTTTGGCTTCTTCTTATCTTTATTTCCTTCCGTTCAATTATATCCCCTTTGGTCCCCAAGGAGCCATGATAAGGGCTGTTATTACACTTAACTTCCCCCCCTTTCTGACCAGACTGCAGTTGGCCCTTCTCCAATTGGCTGCCTTGCCCTCTCACCTTCTTCCCCAAGTGCTCGAGCACAGCTTACTCATCATTCTGATAATGGAGGTAGTGAGCACCTATGAAAGAGGTGATGAAGAAAGTTTTTAAGGGCCATGTGGTGAGGGGAAGAGGTGATTACAGATATTTGGTGGCAATGTAAATAGCAAAAGGAGGCAATATAAAAGTTTTATTGACTACATTGTAAGGAGAAGATGAGATACATATTTTTTGTTTCCATTTCTCAAATTAATGGGCCATGAGGTTAGTAGAAGAGGTGAAGAATGGCCTTTTCAGGGCTAGGTGGTAGGAGAAAAGGTGACCAAAAGAGTTTTTGGAGACCATGTGAAGTGAAAAGGAGTGATGAGAGAATTTAAGCAAGACATAAGCAGAAGATGTTCTGGAATGATTTGGCCTGGATAGCAATAAAGGTTCAGTAAGTGTTTATTAATAGAGGTAGCTGCAGGAATGTTTAGTTCTTTCAGATGTTTCCCTGATCAAGTGAGGAGGGTGGGCCTGGATGTTGGACATAACTCTGTTCCGTCATAATCGATGCCAAGTTTAGTTGCTCCAGAATGTCTGGTTAAACCTGATTACTCATTCTCCAGTCTGGTGTCTCATGTTCTGAAATCCTGTTGGAGATGTAACACCCCAGTTGGCCAATATATACCTTACCACAGGAGCAGTATAACTTGTAAACACCTGATTTTTTAACCACAGTTCTTTGTAATTTTGTGGATTTAAAATCTGGAGGGCCACTTGGTTGAGTGGTTTCTGTATGGTATGAAAATCTTGTTTCTTCAGTAGCTTGGAGATATGATTAGTAAGCCCTTGGTTACATGGTAGGTACACTGTGAGGTTTTGTCTTCCTTATCATTTCTTTTGGCAGGTCTTGCTTTGGACATCTTGTTGATGTCCTGTAAGGAGTAGCCAACAGACTGGAGAACAAACTGAACATGTTATAGTTATGAGGCCTGGCTAGTCTCATCACAAAGACTGCTCACACTGTGGTAATGATGGTCCTTTTATGAGCTGGTGAATGGTGTGATGCTCCCTGTAGATATCTGTCCATGTATTTGGATTTTCTGCAGTCAGCATATCCCAGTGACTTGTTTTGGTGCCCGATGTTACTATTACAAAAGTAAAATCCCAAGTCTTAACCTCCACCTGTCACATTCTGCACTAATGACTGAAGTAATTAAACAGACATCAGTTTTACTTTTGAAAAATATTCTTCTTGGAAGAGACTAGCTTTGATTATGTTCCAAATTTGAAATGTTCTAAACATTTTATTAAGTCAAAGAAGGCAATTCCATCCATTAGAGAACTTTATGATAAGCAAATCACATATAGTTATAAATTTTATTACCATTTTTTTATACATACTCACTTTGTGCTTTGTTTATACAGAGTTTTTATTCTCAGAAATATCCAATAATTAGATGACTGTCTTCTGGAATGTTATGATGTGCAGTCTCATATAAACTGGCCAACATTTCAGAGGTTTTATTGCCTCCAACATCAGAAAAATGATGGAGGCAGTAGCACCTTTAAAACTTTGGCCTGTTTCTATGAGACTGCACATCACAAATCTCAAAAGACAATTACCTTCATACGTAATGCTGTAAGAACCTGAAATCTCGCTTCCCCTATTTATATGTCATATTTCCATGCTTATGTAGTTTCTTGAGCTACCTGTGCCTCATTCTGAATTCTTTTGGGGATCAGATACCTTAAACCTCTGAAGCCAGAGGTCATTTAAATATTGTTAAAAATTCAGTCCATACCATAAAGAAAACACAATACTTCCCAACTGCAAAGACCAGATGGTCAATGCTGCTTAAGGAAACACTCACAAATTACTCTGAATATGAAGATGGCTGTCTTCTGGGTTGTTGTGCAACAACCCAGAAGACAGCCATCTTCAGACTCACTGCCATGAAAACCTCAAATCCTACATACTCTGAATATCATACAAAACCCATAAACATTCTAACTCCCTGGTAGCAGAACCCGTTGGTCCAACACCAGCAACACCAACACCAGACTGAATCCTGAGCTAACTCCACCCATTTTCCATCCTCAGCCCACCTCCCTAAGATCCATCTTGATATCATCCATGTTTGGTGGGTCCCTGTCACCACGGCATGGAGTTTCCTCAGGATGCAGATGGAGGAACAGCCTCCAGTTATGGAGGTTAGCTGTGAATATATTGAGTAAGCAATTTCTAACAGCTGATAAGGGGTGGTCCTCCAACTTGGGGGTTCAGCCTACAGCTAACAACCCTTCACTATAAAAATGTTTTATGTTACGGAAACAAAATCATACACATTCTATGGACAACATTCTGAATTTATGATTATTGAAGCAGGTAGTACATATAATTAACACAGGGATTTAAAGGGTTCCAAATTGAAGTTTGGGAATGTGAACATAACAGCAGTGGACAACAGTAGCCTGTACTAAGCAAATACAGTGTTTCCATGCACCTTCATTACTTTGTGCCCTATATATATATATATATATATATATGTTAAATGCCATTTCTGTGCTATTATAATATTATTACACTTCTTAATAATGAAAAGATCCTGTGCCGTAGCCGCGCGGTCTGAGGCATCATGCTTCGGACCGGCGATACAGAATGCGTGCTGGTTCGAGTCTCAGGGGAGAAGAAATTTTCTCACGAGCTTTCGACCAGTGTATGGGACCGGTGCCAACCCAGCATCATGAGGAAATTGGGGGGCTACAATGAGTAGCATAATCCGGTCGGGAAAGCTAGCAATGGCTGGGGGTTCATCGTGCTGACCACACGTCATCCTATATCTGGTTGGATGATCGTTCACCTCTGCTTAGGCATGTGAACATGAGGCCTGCAGTCAAGCTAGTCGGCTTTGGCTCTCAGGAGCTGTTACGCCACGGATTTTTTTAATAATGAAAAGTAACAAAGTTAACCATTGGAAGAATGTCAATTTAATAAGTTTCTAAAACAACACAATTTTAATAAATACTTCATGAGAACCATAATAAACTGGTTTTATGATACTCCTCAGTTAACATTACATGAAGGTGCTTGGTGCCCCATAATTCACAAATCAAGACTTACAGAAACTGTTTCTGATTCTGAACTGTTTCTAGACAATGCTATGGTCACTATACTTCTGCCATTTTCCAGCTTTAGTCACAAGAGTCTTTGAAAAAATTAATGGCAATGAGTTATTCACCATAAAAATCAACAAAAAATAATAAGATGCAAAGAAGAGTTAGAAAGAAAAGAGCATAATTACAATAAAAATATAAAAAACTTCATACCTAAAACCACATTTGCTGTCTAGCAGTCACCGGTCTGACACTTCCCATAATACTAACACATACGTATACAGAACCTTCCATTATTGCGTTATCTACAACTATACAAATCTACCAAGCGGAATCTCTTTTCTGAAGCCAAGTCACTTAATTAGTCAATAAATTTTTTATAGATAATGGAGATTAATTTCTGAGTTCACAAAAGCCCACTACTGGATTCTATCTTGGGACAGATTAACCCAGTCAACAACTTCAAGCTATCTCTTTAAGATGCATTTTAATATAATCTTTACACCTACACCAAAGTCTTTCTTTCAGCTTTACAAACTAAAATTCTGTATGCATTTTTTAACTCTCCCAGTTCAACGCATCAATTTTAGTGACCACAAGATTATAAATACAAAACATTCTCGTAAAACAACCGGGATCATTTTTCTCTCACCTACATTATACACGCAAGAACATACACAGACTTTAAAAGTTTTGTTACTGTAATACTGGGAGGGTTAACCCCTTCAAAGTAAATTGGAAATGATGGGGGAAAAAAATTAGAATTGCATTCACAAGGAAATTAAGGGCACAATAAAGTTTACGAATGCTTTCCATCAAGCAGTTCAGATTTTCTATCTTCAAATATAACATTGTGTTTTCAGAGTTAAAGTGTTTTGCATAATTTAATCATTGTATTAAACTATATAAAACTCTAATATTTACTGTTGTCTTGCATAATGCCCACATAAATTTAAATTTGACGGTCAAAATCTCCATTTATATCATAATACCACAGCAACCTGGTATCACTCTAATATCTATACAGCAGGTGTAATGACACATTGTGTGAAGTTACAATGATGTGAATTATGATTATTGACCTTAATTAAAGCCCAAATCCAGTGCCACATTGAGGGATTTGGTAGGATAGACTATACAATAGATTGAACACATAAAAAACCCTCAAATTCAGTGCCAGGTATATGTGGTTACATTATAAAACTGTTCTATAACTTCACTCCTACTCAGTAGAAGAATTTATAAATACATGTAAGTAATAATGGTGATGGTTCTCATAATTATTTTGCTGTAATGCTGTAGTTCCAAAAATCTGTCAATAGTTATTATAACAATGTATTTATATTTGTACTAGAAACAAGTAATGTATTTGTGCTATGACCTGTTCTATATCCTTGGCTTAGGCCTATGAAGAATCTATGAAATGTAAATAAATTCTATTCTATTCTTGTATTAAAATAAGTTAATAAATACAAACATCACTTAATGTCATCCATATTGTTATGTGGAAGAAGAAAACATCTGCTACTTTTCTGTAACAGCATGATTTGATAAACCTCAATGACACTGGCATCAAAACATGAAGTGACACCTAAATATTGAAAATGTCATTGCATCATACTTCTGTTCAATCACATTATAAACTTTGGAAGTACTGTTACTTGCATATACATCCAATTCAAGCACAGTGCAATCATGGCAAAAAATGAAACAAAGTCTGAAGATATTAAATAGAAATGTAGGAACATACCTTTCTTCAAAACACGTAACCAACAACCTACAATCTTCTTGTGGTGTTGCCTATGCTGCAAGCACCATGATGACAAAGATTGTATACTATCCTGAGAGTCTTTAAGCAACTGCAGTCTCTTCTCAAACTGATGTTCATTAAAAGCTGACATTTTGATTTAAAATTCTTAAAATGTCATTTATGGCACTCAGACGCAATTTCTGCATGTAAATGTCCGAGATTTAACAATAACTGCAGTAATGATATTTCATTTCTTAGTCTTCCACAAAAGCTGTATAAATCAGTACCTGTTGTAATCATGCTACCTATAAAAATTTATGGGTTATGGTATTCAAGTAACTTTTGAATTGTGTCTTGAACTACGTTACCACGAAAATGCGTTTTTGAAAGCGATACAGAACAGGAATCAGAAACTTAAATATCACTAGAAGACCGCAGACTTGTAAATAACAGAATCACATATACACCACTCCGTTTCAATGAAAAGATATATGCAAATTCATAATGTATAATTCTCATTTTATACTGTGCTCATTACTATTCCTAACATCGATTTAGAACAATCATTATTCCCAATATTCGTAGCATCCACAAAATCAACAACTTAATAAGACAGCCGCCACTGCGAATGTAAAGCCGCTCATTATGACGCCTTCTAACAAACGTAGATTAACTCACACGCAAGCACTTCAAAAAGTATATCAACACTAGCAAACTTATTTCTTTTCAAACAATCTTGCCTTGCAAATAAAAATTAAAAAGAATTCGTTAGTGTACTCATTAATACGTATTCGTTTACTAACATATCAAATATTTTGTTATCCGCCATATTACCTCCGGAAGCTTTCATAAAGCATTTACGATAGTTCATCATCTCGTGATTCAACTTACACGTCGAGGATAAAGTTAAATAGTACACTAGCGATTTAGAAATAAATTTACTGTTCGTGTATTTATTATACCAATAATTTATTCAATTAAAGGGAAACTAGTACAACAAAAATATTGTTTTGCGAACACATTTTCACCTGTGATTCAGAGAATAAATTTTAGAACGTCTGTGGTATACCAAAAACGTACGTTCTCATTCTTTGCTCTCCTATACGAAGTTGGTATATCTGTGTACATAATCGACATTGGTTGATGTTAAATGAAGTTCCTGCCATTTTCATTGTCTAATACAAAGATGCTTGATTTTGAATAAGACCGAACATTACATGAAGCTTCGTACAAATAATGCAATGGCCCAATGTGGCAGCATGCAGTCATCTGTAGATCAGGGACGGTGCGCCAAACGGCAAAGTTTGCTACAATTCGACGCCCATAAATATTTGCCCTTCTCGCCAAACACTTCGCAGTGTGTACCAATGAATAATTCTGTATCCCTGGAATCCGAAAAATTACTACATGTAAACCTGTAAGGATTAGATGGAGAATTGTGATTAGCAATGTCACACTTTCTTTAAAAATCACATAACTAGAAACAATTCAACTCTTAGGCCTATGAAAAGAACTACTGTGTACACAGAAACCAATGATAATCATTGAATACTAGACAATACTCCATGAAGAATGATTGGGCAATCTACGTCATAAATATTAATACTTATGGCCTAAAATCCCTTTATAGCAATTAATCACTAAACAGTAAACACTGACTTAAAATACACAATGTGAACTAAGAAACTCATACACAATAATGCTAGAGGGCATGAAATCACTTCTGGATTGTGATGTTGTGAGGTCTTGTACGTGGGTACCAACATTTCAAAGGAACATACTATCTCCATACTCAGCATGAAGATAGACATACGGCAATACAAGACCACAGAACATCACACTTCCTTCCATAGCGTGATTGTGGAAGAATCCAAGTATGATGGTTCCTCACTTGGACCTTCCACACATATAATCCTACTAATTTTTTACTTCTGAATGTGATGCACCAGGCCAGACCATTGCATACTGGGAGATATTACAATTTCACATTCAAGCACTGATCCCTTCAACAGAAGATCTACCTGCTTTCATTCCAGGCTCCACTATAGACACCTCCATTCAAACACATCTGTTTGAAAATACAGTGCTCATTCCTTTATTTTTTTGGCCTCAGGCTCTGCTGCCAATGCTAACTAAACATAATGGATCAAAAATATAATACTGTTCAAACATAGTAATCTGCTTCATACAACTGCAATGATGGTAGCTTTTTGACTGGTCCATAAAAACACATGGCTTGGTGACATGTTGTGAAGAGCAGGTCTATAAAAGTATGTACCATAAACACAACTTAAAATTTTATACTGTCTTATTTTTGGCTACATGTTTTTGACCATTGTGATCAAGTGACCATACACAATTAAGAAACCACTACTGAATGGCTGACTGGAATGGGAGGTCATGATATGTAGACCCAAACAGGAGTGGGTAATTGGGTAACCCCTGTATGGTGTATAGCAGAATGTTTGTTTTGCTAATATACCGTTTTCACAATGTAAGAAATCTGTCTTAGCATTTCTCATTCTTATCTCAAAGAAGTCTTGTGTTTATCTTTCAAAATGACAAAATAATTCTTGCTCTTGCATACACATTTATAATGGTTCATAGAAACAAATCACTACTGCATAAAATCACATGTCAGTAACAATTTTCAGTTCCATGGAAGGATGAAAGAACTAAAGTAAACACAACTAAATATGTCTATTCTTTAAGCTTCTATGAAAGGACAAACAAATCCATGCCTTCTGTTTATAAAAATAAATATTTAACCATGAATTAATGTATATACAGTATGTAACTTAAGGGTGTGGCCAAACTTTGGTGGTGAGTCTTACACACCTGAACTACAAAAAAAAGTTCATATCAACACTGGCCTGGAAAAGCCTCCTTTTCTTTCTGACATGTTAAAAGTATCTGCTCCAAACATTATCCATAAGTTTGTAGTTTGCCCTTCAAAAGCACGACAGAAAGCCATGAATGTAATGCCAAGGCCATATGAAACAGTCACTTGGAGACAAACCAGAATCAAGAGCAGGATTAGTCATTACCTGATTTGTAATTTAATTTACATTTTCTTTCAAAATTTCAATGCCAGAAACCAACTCGATTAGTGAACAGTGTTTTGGCAAAAATGGGTGGGAACAAACTCAAGAAATGTCAAACATGCATCTCATTTAGGGACAGGGATGCCAGGCACCTCTACAAGCAGTTTTCCACAATGGTAACTTCCACACAAGAAAACACTGATTATCATCTATGAGGGACAAGAACTTCTGAACTTGTTACTACAAACTGGAGGAGACCATTATCCACCAACCAACTCATTTAAAGGAAGAAATTCTGTACCATAATGAATAAGATCTTACTAGCAGTACCAAAAGGATAGCAGCAGTGGGACATGTGTCACAAATGACCATCTGGAGAGTCCTACATCAACAGCTGATGTACCCATACCACTTACAGAGTTGAGGGTCTCAGTCTAGCGGACCTTCTGTCAATAGTGGTTGCAGCAATGTGCATGAAACCCTTTCTTTGTTTCTTCAGTGCTATTTACAGATGAAACAGCTTTCACCAGGAAGTTCATAATGCATTTTCACAGCAATTACTTGTGGGAAGAGGAAAATCCTCACACTATTATTCAATCTAGACATCAACAACTTTTCAGCACTAATATGTGAGTAGGTATTGTTGACACTGTTATCACAGGCTCCTATGTTTTGCCACAAAGGCCAACAGAAAGCAGTTATCAACATTTCTTCAAAAATTATTTTCCCAAGCTATTATAAAACCTTCCTTTAGCAATCACAGCACACATGTGAATCATGTGTGATGGTGCTCCACAAAATTTCAGCATTACAATTTGGAAATTCTTAGACAGTGATGGATAGGTCAAGGAAGACCTAATGTGTGCCCTGTGTTTGTCTGATTTAAGTCCAGTTGATTTTCATCTCTGCTGGAATAAAAGCTCTAGTTTATGAGACTCTGATAAACAATACATAACTCTTTGACAGCAACTTTAAGATGGCTGTCAGACAATCTGCAATACCCCAGGAATGTTTGCATTTGGCAGTCTATGGCAAGAGGTGCACAGTGCTGCATTGAAGCTCACAGGTGACATTTGGCACAGTTACTACAAAATGTCAGAAAGGAAAAGAGTGCCGTAACTTGGAAAGGAGGATTTTCCAGGCCAGTGTTGATTATAATGTTATAGTTTTGGTGTATTGAACTCACACTCTAAGTTTGGCTACACCTTTAAGATACAACCTGTGTATACACATCTTAAAAATAGGAGACAAGAAGTTTTAAAATGATAAAAAATCTTGATTTGAAGCTTTCATGGCGACGTAACTCAATAACATGTTATTTTTAAAATTTAGCTGTAAACAAACCAGGATTACTATCCAATAAGGAGTTATTACTAACTGCTAATAATTAGACAGTTATGACCACACTGCACCATTGTTCCAATCAGTAGCAAAACTAGATACTGTACAGACATACAGAAAACAGTAAAAATACAAAGACATATGAGTAATACAGAGGCAGAAACAAAATTAAATTCCTAATACATACACTGAAAATGTCAGGTTCTGAGGATGACCTCAGATTCTGACCACCCATTAATGATGAAGTTGGGATTTTATTGATTTAGAACTAATTAATCAATTTTCACACCTGTAGCAAGAAGCTAAATGTGAGAGTTCCAGGCAAATATTCTTGGACTTTGACCACTGGAAATCAGAGCTGTATCTGTCACTGACAGCTGATCATCTGAGAACATACATACTACGAAGTTTAACTTTTTATAATCCAATACTCTCACAGACCATTGCAGTATTTCACCCCAAGGAGGTTGAACCATCATTAAAAGAATTTATACAATAGTACACATCACCATGTCTGATGTTTAGCATAAACACTTGTCAGTCAGGTGCCTTTTAATTTGATATCTATTATCCAAATTTATCTAAAACCCATCATAAGATAACCTCAATTCAACATTAATAATTTATGACCACAAAGTAACTTCAAGTGATGGCACATAAACTATACCACACTTAAGAATTAATTAGATTCTCAAAGTACCATTAATGTGCATCTGTGACCAAGTAACTGTGCTTTGTTTACAGTGGTGCTGTATGTAACAATGTTGTACTCCAGACTTAACAGTAAACAATTACTGCAATAAATCCACCTAAAACAAACCCAGTTGGTTGGTACATAAGTTACAATTATGCTACAGTTTTTAATTTATATATGTCATATATATATATATATACGGCACTTAAAACAGTTAAAACATTTTTCAAATGACATTTACTGTTCAATCTCATTTGGTCTAATAATTCTTAAATACTCATGCACTAATTTCTGTAACATGCAAAAAGGAAAGTAAATATAATTCTTTCACAGTATTTTAAGTTATTCTTCCCATTCACTTCCTTAACCTTTACTGCACCATTTTAAATCACCAATGTACAACTCAGCTAGACCAAGTTCATTTTGTGGGTATACAGACTTTCACAAGGGATTCCTAAGCTTGTGGCAAGTTAACTGGCCATATACGTCTATGAAGTTCACATACAGCAGCCACTATACTGGCTGCAGGGATTTAAAAGGTTAATACAAAACACCATATATACTGATCAGTTGCCCAGCAGTAATGGTGCTCTAGACTTGTTTGGGATGAACTTGGTTCAGGTCACTTATTCGATTACTGGCTGACCTACGATTCCACATACATTCTTCAGGCATTCTAGGTGAAGCCAGTAAACAACAGACTTCTTCCTAATATTTACTTACGTATCATGATCATATTCTTACATTGAGGTTATACAACCTAGGCAACACAGCATCATTAAACAATATAAAATCAATCAATTCATTGTAAGAAACCACCTATATTTTCTTAACACTTATAACATGACCACAAATAAAGAGTAAAAAATGCTTATTATTTTACCTAGATTGTATCCCATATGCTTTAACACTTATTAGAACTTAGATAATGCAGTTTCATAAAAATATTAAGGTTAACAAGATACCCCCTTCACAGCTTATGTGACTTATCACAGGCTATGAATATTATGTGACATTTCTTTATCCTCTCAGAAACTTCAATGTTGTTGGACATTAACAACAAACTGGAAGTTCACAGTATGTGTGAATCTTTTTACAAAGAACAAACTGAAAGCTATTTACACTTTTGGAAATGTTTGTAACAACTATCTATCCATTCTTCTCCAAAAAAGCACTGAAATCCCATGTATAACATTAAAAGGGCTATCAAAAAAGTCTTAAAAGATCCAAATTTTCAAAATACAAATTATATATTGATTGAAAATTATAAATACTTGAACAAAATGGTTACTACTCTAACCACAATTTACAACAGTGGTTCCCAGACTTTCCTAGTTTGCTTCTGTTTAAAAGGTGAAATCTCCTTCCCTGTGCATAGTACCATGACATTAATCATGTAAAGAAATGGGGGCAAGGTTTTGAACAATAATCTTCTTTCTATGGCTTCCGTTGCCTAATATTCATTGCATAAGAGGCTGCATGGGACCTAGAACCATTGTAGATATGGTTGTCATGCTACGATTCCATCTCTTTTGGGAATGAAAACCCTGTCTTCCAGTTTGAAACCTGTCATTTTACTTACAATCCATTTCCGTAATTGGACTGATTTTCATTTCAACACACAAGTGCTGAAAATACATTCTTGCACATTGTACCTGTGTAACTGATTAATTAATATTAGCGGACAATGTTGTTGATGGCAATAATTAACACTAAGACAAGCAATTTCTGCACAAAATTATTGTTATGAAAAATGAATTTCTGCAGGTGTTCTTCAGGCTGCCATTACAATCAGTCTGGGAATCACTGCTCTAGCAGTGCACCAATCTGTATCAAATTTTAATTAGTTCCCTATATCCAGTATTCACTGATTAATCAAATTATATGAACACACATCATATTCACCTCCAGAATTATCAGTGACTGCTCAGTGTTCTATATGAAATATATGAGTGGACTCAACAAGGCTATATGGAAGTGTGTTGCATACCCAGCAGGTGCACATCATGGTTCCAAATGCAAATCCTTTGCAACACCATAAGCAGCGACATACATCATCCTGGACTTGTTAGACTCATACACAGCTATTGCCCTGTCTCTGACTTCTTCCCAGTCATACAAGTCCCTGTAATATTCAACAGTATCACATTCATAGTTATACATCATATTACATTCTCATTTACAAGTGTCAGACAGAAATATAAATACTAATATAAAGGATATATTAACCAATCTGCCTCACAGATTGTTTTCTGAATGTGAGGCTACAATAATGCACATTATTTTAGTTCAGTTCTGTGACTTTGAACAGAAATAATGAAAGTCATATTTCCAAAACACTATAAACCACAAATTTTCTGCATATAAACAGCTTCATTATTATCCCAAGTCATCCCAGGCTCTGCTTATATGTTTTCTGCTGTGAGGTAGACCTGAATTTTGCACTTGTGCCCACTGCAGAGTTAATACAGGGTCTATCTAAAAGAATGCCAGGATTTAAAACACCTGCAATTCAGGAATGAAGACAGATATGGTGATGTTGGTACTTGCAGTGTAACCATGAACTCAAACAGTCTCACTGACACAAGTTGCTCACACATCCCAATTGTAGTTAACCTTTAAACAATGGGGATTTAAATGGCAAAGTGGTAGCAGCCCTACAGAGTTTTTTTCAGGTTTTTAAACTTTTGTGCATGCTCTATGGAAAACTTTAATATTATCTAAAGTAAACATGATAAATTGACAAAATAAAAGCCATATTCATTCGATTGGAACACAAAATACATAGAGTTTTTTAAAAATGCAGTTAATATCTTTATTGCCTAAATAAGCCTTAGTAACTTTACTTTCTTCTTTGGAAGCCCATTCGACACGGCAGAAGCCACGGTTGTGAACTAATGATCACACAGAAAAATTTGTTTCCCCTACTTCAGTGGATACACATTATTTTCACCCATCATGCCGAGGAATGTGAGAAGCTTTGATTAGGGGGTCTGAAAACGAAGCTAAAACTCACTTGACAATAACAATGTTTATTGCTGTTTATGGTTATATTTCCCGGTTTGACAGCTCAGGTTGAACTTGTCAGAACCCTACAGAAAGTGATTCAATATTTGCAGCCCCTAAAAGCGGCCAAAAGACGTAGCCAAGTCTACTTACAATGTTGCAAGTTTTGCGTTCCGCACAAGGAACTTTCGTAGAGCTGAGTACACAACTTACGTCCCAGACAGGGAACGCTAGTAAGATAAAGGTTAATGGACAACAGCTTACGTGTTCTGCGCTATCAGTACAATGTCTACCACACAGCAGAAAGCACAGAACATGTTGTGGTATTAAAAATTTGTATCCATAGTGAATTTAGACGTGAGTATGGTGTGAGACCGCCTGATGACAAGAGCATTAGATGGTATCAGCAAATTTAACAAGACTGGCAGTGTGGAAAAAAGAAATTCTACTGGGCAGCCTAGGAGACCTGATGAAGATGTGAATCACAATAGGCAGGGGTTTACACATAGTTCTTACATCTATACTGACAAATAATACAAACTAGTATCAGTGACCAAGGAAACTTTACTTATAATTTGGTGTACAACAAAACAGATGTCCATTATAGTGTTACCAGCACCTCTGCCTTCTCTTTTCTGCATCTTTGTACAACAATGCAAACAGCTGTTCTGTTAGAATTTAACACTGAAAGTAAGATTTGAGATTTTCACAGCAGTGAGTTTGAAGATGGCTGTCTTCTGATGGAGGAGGCAGCAAGGACCTCTAAAATGCTGGTAAATTTCTACCAGACTACATGGCACTACAACCCAGAAGACAACCATCTTAATCTATGTGGGGGGGGAATTGATGCCATTACATCTCCGGATGGGGCTTTTGTATTTTCATGAAGAATGCATGTATGCAGAACATTACAGAACTAGATGAAGCCATATTTCAATCAAGTTCAGTCAGTAAAATCATGACAAGCTTTTTATATGTTGGTTAATAACTTTTTACTGTAAAGCTCACCTGTACAGAGGTCGAACAAATTTCATGCGACCTTGTTCGACAACAAACTCTAGTGCATGCGCCACCTGTTCCAACCACCTTCCCTTGATGACCAATCGAAGCCACCTGTATGAAAGTTTTATTAGAAATTACTAGATCTGATTATAGAAAACAGCTGATGACCATCTTTGCAAATATGACAGACACACAAATTAGCATTTAACATACCAGGGGCCCAGACACACTAATAAAAGGCACTCAGGTGCTTATGACAATGATTTAATATTGTTATGGGTGTATTTGTCTGTTATGTGGATAAAAAGATGTGAATATTTTAGATGGTAGTTGTTTGTGTTTCAAGAGATAAATAATCTGTGGTGTCTAGTAATACTTACTTACGATACTTAGGTGACCTGTTCTTCAGTGCCTTGAGCATCTGCGGGTCCCAACTTTCGTGGTTTTGATCTATTAGACAGTTGGTAGGACTACTTGGATGAGTGATCAGCCCATCACAAGGCCTCTACCTGTACACAGGACAGCACAACACAGAAATACGTGGACAAACATCCATGCCTAGAGTGGGATTCAAACCCACAGTCCCAGTGACCAAGCGACACAAGCCCCATGCCTCAGACCATGCAGCCACTGTGACGGTGGTGTCTAGTAATGGACAAACTATATGAAACATACTTCTGAGAAGATATGCCTCTTATGAGACACAGTGACAGCCAGTCTCTAAAATGTATAATCTTATCCATATACTAGACACTGCAAAAAAGATGAGCAACAGATACTTCATCCACACATCTCACTGAGAAAGGTTCCATTTCATTGTACTCATTATGTAAGGTAGATGTGAGATATTTCATCAGCCCTAAACTTTCTCAATGAGTAGTCTACATAGACAAAAGCTTTATCTTATTCTGTGTGTGTCTGGGCCCACTGTGACTCCCTTCCTTTACTTTCCAACTCTAACTTTATTACGTTTTCCCATATTGATACTGCAATTATGTGAATCCATATCAAGCTATTATAAAAACATGTTCCTAATCTGCTAGTAGTGCAGCTTTGGAGTATGAAGATACATTATCTTTATGCATTCTATTTAGTGCACAAAATGTTTTGTATATAGAAGGAGAATCATTACTGAAAGAAGATGCATTGTGGTCTAATTAAAAACTTTTTCAATTTGGGGTGGATTTTGATTTACGTTCATTTTACATCACAGTGTACATTCACAGCATTTCTGAGCAGTAGCCCTCTACTGCTAGTTTCCATAAGTACATGGATTCTCAAGACACAAAATTCTCATGAATACCAAAAAATGATCTTGCATCCCCAAAACATAACCATCTTGTATGAAATGTCACATCACAAATTGCACAGTAACCATTCTTTGAAGAAACAGTCAGTTCTATAGCATATTAATCTACTTGCTCCTTACTAGAACTTTATGATAGAGATTGCTGGATTCAGCATGATTGTTGAAAGTCACGGGGTCATTTCAAAGAGTTAGTAATCACGCAGATCTCTGGACTTAACATCCCTTGTCTTTTTAAAGCAAGCATCTACCAAGACAATCCATAAAGTATGCAATAATTGTAAGTGAATACTGAAATGTCTTATGCAACATAAGAGTTGAAACTCTTATACCTCTAAGAACATCATCAAGACAGCTGATGCATATATTCATATCAATGGAAGACACTTCTACAATATTTTGTAAACTCATTTACATTTTATATTCAATGAGATATAATACACTTTTTATATTTGGGCATATTTTTAAATGGATCACTCTGTAAAAACAGTACAAGACTGGTGAAATCAAGACACGGCCATGTGGCATGGATGACAAAAAGATGTGAAAAACAGACTCATATACAAGAGGGGAACTTATGGTAAGACAGGGAAGGCCGGTGTAAGATGACCCAAGCTGGTGGAAACATCAATGGATGGCAATACTAACACCTAGTGGTGCTGCAACATATTAAAACATCTGAAATCTGCAACTGTAAACAAAAAGTAAAAGCAAAGCAGTCCTGCTAAACGCCATGTAGGTTGCTTGAAAAATTCCCATTACTATTACCTTTGTTTCCAACTGCAAAACACTTAAGATTTACCAGAATTGCCATGTTGAGAATTTATAATTGCTAAAAGGTGAGACAAAATAAATGGTTCTTCATGTTCAATAAAAATGAGATAATGCTAGTTACTTCATCCACACTGCATACTTTATCAATAAGTTCTTACATAATCTAAGAGTCCCTGTTACAGTGAAATTATCTTTTTCAAAATTTCACAATAATTTCACTTTCCAGATATTCGTACTTACCTGAAACGTATCTCAGAATTCACCACAGAACTGAATTTGTATGTGTTCTCCATAACTTGTAGCTTGGTAACAGACAAAGGTTTCTTTTCAAGCAGCTGAGTCAGAAATTCTTGTACCTGACTTGAACTCAAACCCTTAATATTCTCAGGGCTAAATGGACAGGTAGATTCTGCATCCCAATCTAGCCATTTATTGCACAAATTTGTGCACACTTCTTCTAATGAGCTGTCATACCTAAGAACAGTGAATATATCATCTTCATGACAAATTTTCTCCATATGCCTATCCAGCATTTCAGTAAACAAAGCAATGTAGAATGAGATAGCACCTGATGCAACAGATAAATACATAATAATATTAATAATAATAATCATCATAATAATAATAAAGTGCAAGCAAAAGTAATCCCAATAATTATAGGAGCAACTGGAACTGTCTCCAGGTCACTCAGAAAATATTTGGCCAACATTCCGGGTGAACACAACATCAGGGAACTGCAGAAGACCGCCATTTTGGGATCTTCATACATCATTCGAAAGACGTCGTAAAATAAAATTATATAATACATGTAGCACGTGTTAAAACAATATATATTCTGGAAATAGCTGCTGCACTATGTACCTTAGGGACAAGGTCTGCCTCGGGTACATGTAAGTAAATACCCTATAAATTGGTGAATAGATAGGATAATAATAATGGTGATGATGACAATAATAATAATAATAATTTGTGAGGGTGGGTTGTTGAGGGAGACTAAGATTGGAACAGGTAGGATAAAATGTCAAACAGAATGAAGAAAGAATGTGGAACAAAAATGAAGGTTTTTGGGAAGACAAATATAAGGAATGAAATGAAATTCGCACAAGCTTTCCATACTGTGATACAATGTTAAAAAATAAGTTGAAAATCTCATATTACAAAATCCTGAGACGCATGGTTCACTTGACCGAATGATCATGAAAAATACAATGTTAAAAAATAAGTTGAAAATGTCATACTACAAAATCCTGAGACGCACGGTTCACTTGACCGAATGATCATTAAAATAACGACGAATAACGTGACATGTTCATAACCCTCGGTGCCTTTGGTAGTCCAGCTGGTGCTGTTGCATGAGAATATGCGCTATGTTACCCTTGTCGACATCATCCAAACACTGATGTTTCAACACCTACAGTACATGAATGCAGGTCGCCCACGGACTGTATGGACACCACCCAATAAATCTGCTGTGGAACAAGAGCCATGTAGAAGCTCAAGAGAGATCACTCGAGAATTGAGGTAATCCTCATGCTACCTGCAAACGTGGGTATCAAGTCTGCATCAGTGTTAGCGTTTGGGCTGGTATTGTCAATGACATTGTCTTGGACCCCTATATGCCGACAGGCTGCCTCATCGTGATTTTCTGGAAGCTGTTCTACCAGGGCTGCTTGAAGATGTGTCTCAAGCTGTGAGCCAGAGGTTGTGGTTTAAGCACAATGGAGTTCCAACACACTATGGGGAAGATGTACGGCAGAGGTTCAACGCGACATATGCAGGAAGGAGGACTGGACGTGGAAAACTGATTGCCGGATCCAACTCAAATGAATTTTGTACTGTGGGGACATCTGAAGAAGCACGTTTTTTGCAGCCTCTCCCAGGACCACCGAAGATCTCGTGAAAAGTCTTCAAGCAGCTATGACAACGGTTGATGTCAACAAGTTAACTTGCATTCTAGAGAATGCCGTGCAGCGCACTTCTGTCTGCTGTAAAATGGACAGAAGCTGCTTTGAACACCGATTGTACAACAAGACACCCATGGTTTGATCATCTGATAGCTTGTGTAATTTGACAGTGACGTGTATCATGAAAACTAAACGTCACAGAATATAAGGTGTATAACATTTTCGACTTTTTAAAACAAGGGATCACACTATGGAGAACTTATTCGCGAATTTCATTTCATCCTATAGATGGGGAGGTTGGCTATCATAATGTGGAACTGTTTTAGGAGAAAGAAATACTCATTAATAACAAATAAATAACACTGGCTTATGTCACAAATTTGTATTATCTCTAAGATAATACATGTATAATAATGCATAAAATATTTTACTCTTGCCAGCAAAATTTCACTTCTGTTTACAGTTCTAATGTTTAAGTTTCAGAATTTTAATGCACAGCCATTCATGGGGGTTATGTTTCTGAAACCTCCTGTAAACGGTAAAACAGCAATTTTCGAAATGAAGACCCCATGGTAAGAATGGGGTTAGGAGAACCAAAGACACATGAAATATGCCACTTATATTACGTATAACTAAAGACAAACAAGCACAAAACATTAGTGTTGACATTTATTAGGATAATGTCATTCCTGGCTGAAAGTTGTCAAGGTTATCAAACACAAGAGTATCAGTTCTGATAATGGTGAAAAGTACACTTTGAAACATACTTGGTGTAGCAGGATACCCATGTACCTACTTGGATGGGCAGGCAGATGTGAACTGTTGTGTATTACTCCATGTGCCTGTGCAATAACAAGGAACCTAAACTTTGATTCAAAATACCAATTTTTCTGCAAACACACAAAACCACGATTTACAAACCCACAAGCAATTGTCTGCTTGCCGTATTTGGTTCTTATTTATATACGTGTGGTTCACTATAAGAAGGGCATCTTTCTTGTTCTTTATTTAGCATATCTTCAGGGTTTGTATATTTTTTGAGAAGAAATGAAAGTAAGAGTTCATTTTCACTTACTTGGGAATGACGGGAGGCATTCCAGGTGTGAACAACCATTTTTTCCAGTCAACCTCCTTGAGTTTGCTATTGTTTGGAAAATATTCATATAAAAACTTTATAAAATCATCTGTGTCTATTGATCTGTACTTAAATTTGTTTATATATGCTTTCAGGAATGGATCAAACACCTCTGAAAAAAGTAAAACATTTCACTGTTAGAAAAATGAATTTTAAATCAGTCTATATTGGCATAACTGATCCTTACAGATAAAAAGAGAATGATGCAACTTCTTCGTAACTGACTCTGACTGCATAAAATCGTCATTTTTATCATACACTGTATTTTTACAATGAAAGTCTGAAGAAAGAGAATTATGACATGACCAAACTCAAATTCATGTTGCTTTTTCAGAGTGTTAACTGAAGATGTCACTTTGCAAATGTCAAGTTCTAGCAGCTCTTTTGCAAACATTAATACAAACTATTTTACACAACTCTCACATTAATTTTCACTGTCTTGAAAATTACCCAAATGAAAAATGCACATTTTTTAAATATCTGTTACTATAAATACTTTGGTAACCTCCTCTGTATGATACAAGTAGCGTTCCCACTCATGAATTTCCAGTCATCATGTTTATGAATGGAAATTAGGAAATACACTATCCTATGTAAGTTAGGAAACACATTAATTTATTTCTTAATTCAGGAACCAACTACCAATGCTCTGATTAAAATTAGTTTTCTTTGTTTGAAAGCACGGTAGTGTTAATATGTAGAAAAAAACTAGATAGTAAAACTTCACAAACATTATAATGCCTAAGTTATGCTATAGAACTGTGTGAACAACAAAGAATTTTAAAGATGGCTGTCTTCTGGGTTGTTGTGCCGTGTAGTCTGGTAGATGTTTACCAATGTTTCAGAGGTCCTTGCTGCCTCCATTATCAGGGCAGCAAGGACTTCTGAAATGAGTAATCATGAGAACGATAGCTGGCAGAGAAAACCTACAATAAATGTTGACTCTGATGATGGTAGACTTCAGATTTCCAAGTTTGATCTTTGCTTCAATTCACATGCAGAAAAATCTACATACAGATCTGACCACAGACTGAATGCAGAACACTCCACTGTCTTCCCCAAGACCTCCCCCCCTCTTCAATTAACATATTAATATCAATATCTGCAGACTTGTTAAATTCTCAGAGATATGAGAAAAAATGCACTTAAACTTTCAGAAATAAAAAGGGAGTACTTCTGATGTAGAATATACAATGACATCAAATAGTCTTTAAAGTGTGAATGTTTTTTATCCATACTTTCCATATGGTCTGCTGTTTATAGACATGGCAGGTATGCAAATGAAGTGCTGATGCATATAGTAATATTAGAAGTTTATGCAGATAGGTACATATGAACTGAATAAACAAGATTTTCTGATTCTGATGACTGTCATGTAAATGATACAGAAATGGTGTGAAAATCCTGTTGATTCAGGAAAAATAGCTGGCCTGGACATTATTATTCTACTGAAAAGCATCACCATAAATGCATTAAGATTCACAGTAGACAAACACTTAAAATACTCAGATTCTTTAGGGTTCTCACGATGGTGTAATACAGTTGGGATTATTGGGTTTTTAGATTTTGTCCATTGTCCAAGGTTAAAATAGATTGAGACTAGCTCTTTCTAATGGACCCAACAGAAAAGGTGCCCCTGCCCCATATATCTGAAGACAAAAACAGATCTAGTTTTTGAAACATCATACACTTTTTAACCTTGGAGAATGGACAAAGTCCAAAAACCCAATAACACTGACTTAAAAACACTTTTTATAGTTGTAATATTTCATTTACCTGGTCCACCAGCAAGCTCTTCAAGATGGAACAGAAGAGTGTGACCTTTTTCATATGGAACTCTAGAAAAAGCATCATCAGGAGAAATTCCTTTCAAATCTGGCACTAAACATGTTAGAGGACTGTTTTCACCAATGGCTGCTATCTGTACATCAAGCACATAAACTTATAAAACTTTTGAACTCACAAATCAACTGGTATCAGAAGCTCTACTGCATTGAAGTGTATCAACCATATAAAGTAACTATTAATTTGAAGATAGCTATCTTCTCGAATGTTATATCATGTAGTCTGGTGGATATTAACTGACCATTTTAATGGCTTACTGCTTTCATCATCAGGATCACTATGACAATAGATGTAGAAAGCTCCTCTATAACAACAATATCTACTAGACTCTACTGTACAACATCCTAGAACACAGAATCTTCATAACTTCACGAGAACCTAAAGCCAGCTGTAAATATATATAATGGCATGCAGTCATAGCATACAGAATTGATATAATTAAATACAGGCACACCTCGTTTTATTGCGCTTCGCAGATATTGCGTTTTTTTTACAAATTGAAGGTTTGTGGCAACCCTACGTCGAGCAAGTGTATCAGCACCATTTTTCAATAGAATGGGCTCACTTCGTGTCTCTGTGTCACATTTTGGTAATTCTCGCATTGTTTCTTTTAGGCATAATGCAATTGCACACTTAATAGACTACAGTATAGTGTAAACATAACTTTTATATGCACTGGAAAACCAAAATATTCATGTGACTCGCTTTATTGTGATATTCGTTTTATTGCGGTGGTCTGGAACCGAATCCGCAATATCTCCGAGGTATGCCTGTACAGGTCTTCAAATCTTGAAATGTATATCCACATGAGTGCTGTTCACACTGAAAAATGAAGCCAAATGTGGTTCATGAGACAGCCAGTATACACTCTTCAAAACAATAGAAAAATTACATATTTTACCAATATAAAACAGGAGCTGGGGTAACTCAGTCAGTACAGCGCCTGACAATAGGCAACTGGGGTTTGATCACTGGCAGGGACAAAGGATTTTTCTTCAAGCCTCTGCATCCTGACAGGCTCTAGGGCCCACCCAGCCTCCTATCCAATGGGTACCAGGGGTCCTTCCCTTAGGGGAAAAGCACAGACAGGGTACGATACTGACTATTCACCCCATCTAGTGCCAAGGTCAAGAATGGAAAGAATCTATAAGTACACCCCCCTCAAGTACATAGTGCCAAGGTCAAGAATGGAAAGAATTTATAAGTACACCCCCCCTCAAGTACCTCCATCGTACGGAGTGAGACAGCTTTACATTTAATAGTATAAAACCTAATGCAAAGCTAAAAGGGAAACTTGAAAGGAACACTTAATGCACAAGTTCTAATGGGATTCTTCCCACCAAAAATTAAAATATTAACCAGAGTAAGATTTTGATGAAGACCTCTACAACAGTACCATAATTTTGTTCTAAATCATCTGTAACATCTATAACAGACAACTAGGTTCAGTATTTGGGAGGAGAATGACCAAAAGTGCCTAACCAAATCAAATTTTAGTCTATGAATAACAATTCCACCAACTACCAATAAAGTTCAAATTAATTTGAATTCACAAATATAGGTGGTTCATGCATACCTTGTAACAATCCAAGACCAGCTCAACCTCTGGTCTACAGATCAATGTTATTACAAACTGAAATTGATAATATATGTAACAGTACTTACTGCATCTTTAAGATCCTTCAATCCACCAATTGCTGAAAACTGTCGAGTCTTTTCTCCATACAACTTTGCCAAAATCTTACGTTCCAGAAATACTGTGAATCCTTCATTCAGCCAGAAATGTTCAAAGTTCCTGTTTGTGACCAAATTTCCTGTCCAACTGTGGCTGATTTCATGAGCAACTACATCAGCCAGAGACCTATCTCCTGCCTGCAGAAACAAAACCAAACTCACAGCAAAAGACACTCAAATACCTGACAATACATTGTTACAGAAACAGTGTATGTTGTGCTGTTGGTATGAGAAAGATGTTTCCTGTTTCTGTAGTTCTCAAAGTAGCAAATATAAACTCAGGAAACTGACTTTTGTGTCACACCAGAATTGAAAGTTTGAAGACAGATAAGTTCATTCTATAAAAGCTTCTCTTTCAATTTGCAATTAGAAATTGCCTCATAATTCCAACACACCAAATTTATTGTTACAAAACAAAAACACAAATCTATGCTACCAAATGGTTCAATTTGGTGGCTACCATATATATTGCAGCTTTTAAATATCCCCACAGTGATGTGAAGTCCATGTCAAACAGCATGCTCCCTATGCCCATCACCCTCATAATCTGTCCTAAGCCTTCAGAAATGGATTCCAGATTTTTCTAGGGTTGGAAGAGGTCAGGAGAATTTGTAACAAACCATGTCCTGGGGCATTAGGAACTAACCAATCCACCCACTTTCATAAATATCAGTAATCACAAAATAATTCATAATCCTAAGTACAATATTACTTTGAAGTCCTCAGTTTCAGCTATTGTTCAGTCTCTATTATTACTGTTCTTTCCAAATATCTGAACTTTGATATGTGTTTGAAAGTTTTATTAGCTATCATTAAAGACATTAAATGCATATAAAACTATAGCAATCCAAGGAACTCACCAAGACAGTTGGAGTGACAAAGGTAATACAAGGGTTCTCCATTCCTCCAAAAGGAAAAGAAGGTGGCAAAACAAGCAAGTCATAAATTCCCCAAATGTATTCACCACAAATGCTCTCAGCAGCTGACAGCATGTCTTCAGTCTAAAAAATAAACAAATAAAACGAAATTAAACCAGAACATAAACATAATTCTTGTAACGGTGACACCATGTACTTTTCACACATAAAGCAGGAGCAGCAGTAATAACAGATCTAAGGCATACTAACTCCACCAATTCCCCAATTAACTTTTCTCTCTCAGGTAAAGTACTGCCTGACTCAATGGCGCAACAGCCCGAAGTCGAGCCTTGGGCTCCTCCCATGTGGGAGGTTTCTTTGTCTTTTTTTT